TTCATCAGGGCAATAGCTACATCCGGCGCTACCAAGGAGAGAGTAGGGTTCTCTTGGTTATTATTGTTCACAGCTTCATCAGAGTCAGTAGCCACAATCTGCGCTACAAGGGAGAGAGGAAGCTTCTCTTGGTTCTTGCTGTTCGCTCCTTCATCCATCTGAATTTCTCCTGGAGAGAGGAGGTTTCCAAGTTTGTTTCTCTTTGATTATTCATTTCCTCATTAATCCTTGAAGGATCCGATTGAGAGTACCCACATTAGACTCTTTAAACATATTCGGAATGACTAGATTGTGATCTAGATATCCTTAGGGGAATTGAACTAAACAGCTAAGTCCCCGACCAAGATTAGGAATATTCGGGTTGTTTAAACTTCCATGTCTCAAGTTTGTTTCTATTTGGGGTCAGGGTAGTAGGCTTATTGAACATGGATGTCGAAGGAGCCATGGGTCGAGGAGCCGCTAAGAGGTAAAGGCTATAAGACTATGAAAGAGGCTTATGTATGGTATGGAAATCTTTGTTAGGATTATCTAAATTTCTAATCTTATCTTTTGTTGGAAGAAGTTTGTTTTTAATCTTGTGCAGGTACGCGTGATGCAAGGAACGGGTTACATGTTTGGTTAGGGGGAATGGAATGGCCATTCCCCCTTTATTCTTGTTATCTAGCTATTCTTGTAGTTTTTGAGAAACCAGAATAACCATTATCAAGGATATTTTAGTAATGGTTATTCCACACTGGGGGAGCAGGCAAAAAATTATTATTGTACAAAATTAGCATTCATCAGTTTTGAAAATTATCCTCTGATATTAGATCTAATTTGTTCATTTTCACATTTCTGTTCCCTCTCTATCTCCCTCTCTCCTTCTTTCTCTAGATAAAACTAAAATTTTAATACAAATTATGAAAATTAATATTTTAAATTTCAAAATTAAATTAAAATTTTAATATAAATTATAATAATTAATATTTAAAATTAAATTAAAATTTTAATTATAAATTTTAAAAATGAAGAATAAAATAAAATAATGGTATTAATTATAAATTATTTTAATTATAAATTATTAATATTTTAAATGAAATATAAATTATTATCATTTTAAAAATAAATAATCATGTTAGAATTTTAAATAATAATTTAATCATATTTTCAATAAATTATTAAAAATAAATATTTAAAATTAAAAAACAAATATTATGACAAAAGGCCTTTTTGTTTTTTTTATCATGTATTCTTTTGTTATTCCAAAGCTATTTTTACCAACCAAATATTGGAATAAATCATAATACTCATTCATACCCTATTCCATTTTATGAATCAAAGTCCATAATAATTTTTCTTATCTTATTTTATTTTCACAAAATAGAATAATAAAGGGTATTTTTGTTTTTTGTCACATATTTTTTTTATAATTTAAAACTACTTGTACTAACCAAATATTAAAATAAATCATAATAATAATTTCTATCCTATTTCATTTCATGAATCAAAGTACATAATAGTTATTCATTTAAAAAGAATGTTTCATGAAATTTAGGCTCCCTTGGATGCAATTGCAACATTTTTACTCATACTTCTCCACTAGAAGCAATTGTAATGTCAAAGGAATTGAGTTCAATTATAACATGACATATCATTTTTGTTGCATTTTATTTAATTGAGAACGGTTGAATTCAATTATAACATAAAAAAAAATTAAAGAAACAATGTGATTTTAATGACATCATTTTCGTTGCATTTTATTTAACCGAGCAGAGTGTCCTTTATGAAGTAAACTGTTTCAAATTATAAATAAATAGTAAATTGTTAAAAAATAAATATAACAATTTATTATTTATTTAATTATTACCTTATAACTAGTTGAAGTTGAGTAGTAGCATGATTTTAACTTCAAATCTATGATACACCAAAATCATATGATTTTCAAGAAAGTATAATTAAGTGAAGCTATATGGCATAGGTGAAAATGAGATTGAGTTGAAAAAACTAATAAAAAATGAGATTGAGTTGAAAAATTCTGTAAATTTTTTTATTAAAAAACCAAAGTCCTTGAAACTTTAATTTTTTTATTTTTAATTGGAGGAAGGTTCGATCTTTTAAGTAAGAAGATCATGTATCAACTAATAAGTCAAATGCTCGAATGTAAAACTTTAGTTTGACAAAGGTCATTATTTTACATTCCAGGGCATTTTAATCACAATTTTTTTGTTGCAACTATACTATTTCTAAATACATACTTACCCATTATAATTTGTATGCATTCAAAATCTACGCTTCACTATTACATATGCAAATTAAAGATGGCAACAATCTATTATCTTAATATTCAATTATACTTTCTATTATAATTATTATCAACATTCACATATTTAAATTTTGTTTATTAATTACAGACTCACAGCATATCGTTATGTTTACAATGAAAAATAATGGTAAATGAAAAACTAATGGAACATACAAGTTCTATTCTCATCGGAATATATATCACTCCAGGAAGAAAAATGTGTACTCTTTTATAACCCAGTCAGTCTAACAACCAGAAGAAAAACCCAGCCAATTGAAGAAGAAGAAGAAGAAGTGACAATTAAAAATGCCAAAGGGGATCGCCGGGGAAGAAGAAGAAAGAAGAAAAAAGACCTAGCCATTGAGGAAGAAGACTCTCGGTCAGAAGAAGAAACATTTTTTCAAATGAAGGATAAAAATGGTAAATCAGTTTTTTTAACTTAATTGGCAAAATAAGTTACAACATTGATTTTTCATTGCAATCATATTTCTTCCACGAAGAGTAATGTGATTACAATATAATGTTATATTGCACTGATTTTTTTTCTTACCAAAATGTTGTAATGTATTTTAAAATCTCACATTATAAGAATTTTTTGAAAAAATCTCTCTTACCAGATGCTCGAATTTTATTGATTGATACATAATACGGCAAGGGATTTCCATTAATTGTGGAGGTAGTTTATAGGTAATTGGGCAATCGATTTTCCAGTACAGAGATTAACTTTACATTGTTATTTTGATAAAATGTTTGAGAATTATGCACGAAGTTGTATTCCAAAATTAATGATGTTGCTCTATATCTTGAGACAAGATTTGAGATGATTATTTTGTTTAGGTTGTTTTCAATATCCTTCGTAGTTCGGGTGTGTCTTTTTAGGAGAAAGTCAATGTTTTTTTTCAACCTGTTTTTGAAAGATATCACTTGATCTGTGTATTCATCCTTATTCTATTGTAAGCTACGTCTAGTCCTCAGAAGTTGCAATCGGACGGGCGTCGGCCTCATGCAACTCTCGTTGAGGTCCCTTCTGTTAAACCTCTCTTCTTTCTTAATAAACTTCCTTCGCCTCCACAGCCGGCTCAATAATCGTGAAAATTAAAAGTTAAATATTTAAATGAGATATTTTTATTTTAATTAAAAGAATTATTAAAATTTTATTTTTCTAATTTTTAAAATTGAAAAAGTTTTAATTAAATTTTTAGATTATAAATTAAAAAAATATAATTGATATTATATATAATAAAAATTATTAAAAATCATTACATATATATTATCTTAAAAGAAATAATTGACAATTAATAACATTGTGAGAATTGAAAAGTGATAAAACATTAAAATTTATTAAGCACATAATTAAATCTAATTAACACTTTATAATCCTTTTATTGTGTGCCTTTTATCCTGACAACTTTTATATATATATATTGTGAAAAGTGGATTTTATTCAACCAAAAGCTTGGATGCCATTTCAAGCCTAGCACCTAACCGGTGTTAAGACTCTTCATGGCATCGACAGCAAGCTTAAGAACGGGCTTTGCCCTTGTACAACACAAAAGGAACTGCAGCAAGCCTTTGGCATTGAAAGCGGTAAGAGAACACGCCCCTGTCAACAGAAAAGGAAAGCGCGACTAGAAAACAAAAGATGAACTAAAGTCCTAACATTAACAAATAGAGCCCAAATTTGGTTAAAAGAAGAAGATCCCTAGAAGCGCTGCGAGCTTTCGACCCCAAGCTGATCAGCCTTGAGCGGCAACCCTTGGCCAGTCTCCCAAACACAGAAAGGAGAGAGGAGAAGCCTCCCAACACATCACAATCGCACAAAGAGAACAGTATCAGACGCCAAGACGCCACCCAATCCCAGCCAACCATATCTCTTCAGCAGACCAGAGCAAGCCGTTGTTAGCCCCACGACCAGAATCCTCATGCATGAGATCATGAAGCAACCAAAGCAATCCTGCACCAGAAAAACCTTTCAGCACAGAGCCAACCCTCACATTTAAACTTTTGCTTATTAAAATTAAAATTTTTTGCTTATTAAATTATATCAGATTTATATTTAAACTTTTTCTTATATTTGAAGTTTCAAAAATATATTAATATAATAAATTTTTATGTGCACATTCTAAAACATATAAAAATAAAATTTTATTTTTTCTAAACGGCATACAAATAATACATGTTGATAACTATTTTTTGAACGTAAGAGGATATTAATTTATATTATTCTTAAATTATTTTTATTTTTAAGATCTTTATTATAAAAAAACACATATGGATGACAGATCGAGTAGTTTGTACTTTCAATTCAAAAACTTATTTATCAAGTGAATTTATAAACTTAAGAATCATCTCATTTCTTATCCATTACACTTATAAAACGTAAAATTGATTAATTATCAAAAAAAATTATTAGAAAATGAATAGATTAATAAAGAGAGGTATTAATCATTGTAAACAAATCTACTCCACCAAATTCAAGGCGCAATTCATTTATTGCTCTAACTTATAAATTAGGCATCCACTAGGTGAGATGTTTCCCGCATCCACCATGTGAAATGTTTTCCCGCATCCACCAAAAAGAGTAGTCTGGCCGAAGATCAACACCATATTAAGAAAATATTGTATATTTCCAATACCCATCGATCGAAGAAGGAAAACGTTATCTATAAATAGCCTATGTTACCTGCCCTTGCTTGAACAACATAGCCCTGCATAGGCAACTCTTTTCACCACTTGCTCCTGCAGAATTGCAACCGCTGCTTTGCTTTAACTAGCTCAGGAGAAAATAGTTTGGGTTTTTTTTCAATCTTGTTCAATGGCTAACGCCAATAATGAAGTCGTTCGTCCGTTGGTCAACTTTCCCCAGGATATATGGGGTGATCGTTTTCTATCTTTTCCATTCAATAACTTGGTAAGTGACAATAAGTGTGCTTCATACTGCAAGTACATATTTCTAGTTTTTTCTACGGTATATATATAGAAGAAGATATCTCATTTCTTGAACCTTTACTTTTAGGGTACAACTTAATTAACACTTTATAACTTCTGTTTATTTGCTTACATATAGGACTTTGAATTATGCTCTAAACAAGTGGAATCTATGAAAGAGATGGTGAAGGACATGTTAATGGCTTCGACAAGTGATCCAATAGAAAAAATTTTTCTGATTAATTCTCTATACCGCCTGGGAGTTTCATACCAATTTGAAAATGAGATTGAAGAGCACTTAAATCTCCTTTTCCATTCGTTACCTGAACTCAATGAAGATAACGACTATGAACTGTACACAGTTGCAGTCATATTTCAAGTTTTCAGGTTGCATGGTTATAAAATGCCTTGTGGTAAGTGCAATCCATTATGTATGACTGGTAATTAATGAAAAATTTAATTGAGTTAGATTGTTGAAATCATTCTTTATGATGATGAAGCTATTATTAAGAAAGCTAATTCAATTATGGTGGATTTTGAATCATAGATGTGTTTAGCAAATTCCGGGATGATGAAGGTAAGTTTAAGGAAGCACTGATTAGTGATATCAAGGGCATGATAAGCTTGTATGAAGCTAGCCATTTCAGAATGAATGGAGAACTTATTCTAGATGAAGCCCTTGCTTTTACAACAAAGCACTTGGAATCCTTGGCAAACCAATCAAGTCCCCATCTTGGAGAATACATTGTAAATGCCTTGTTCCGACCCTACCATCACGGTATGGAAAGACTTGAGGCAAGGCAGTACATCTCTTTCTATGAAAAGGATGAATCAAGGAATGATGTATTACTCAAGTTTGCAAAATATGATTTCAACCGGATACAGTTGCTGCTTCAACAGGAACTAAGCGTCCTCTCAAGGTGATTAATTTTAGCCTAGTGCCAGGTTATCCCTTTCTTTTTCATATCCAATATACTGAATCATTATTTGTGTTGCAGTTGGTACAAAGAATTAAACCTGAAATCCAAGTTTCCTTACGCAAGACATAGAATCGTGGAGTGTCTCTTCTATGCGCTTGGGATATATTTTGAGCCATGTTATGCTCGTGGGCGCGACATACTTGCTAAACTCACAGTGCTTTTGGGTTTCCTTGATGATGCCTATGAGGCATATGGTTTATATGAAGAACTTCAATCTTTCACAGACGCTATCCAAAGGTTTGCTTATTTCTTTGTGTTTATTATTATGATAGTAATGGAAAAGGAAGAATGTAAATCAATTAATATATTCAAAAAAATTTTATCTGATATGTCGTGTAAGAACTCTTAAAGAAGAAATGTTAATTTTCATTTCCTTGCTTATTCAAAATCATATTCCTCGGGTGCTCCCTGATCACTTGCCAGAGAATTCTTATTGTTCAGATTTGATATTCGTGCCATGGATGAACTGACAGCAAATTACCAGAAAATCCTATATGAGACTATCATAGCTGTTCATGATGAAGCAGAGAATCAGGTGCATAGGGAAGGAAGATCCTACAGCGTCTCTTACACCCGGGATGAGGTAAAGGAGATCACCTCCTTCCCCTAACATTTCATTTCTTACTTAGCCCGTGCTTTAATTCTTGTATCTTACTTGAATATTACGGTTAATTTTGATCTGATGGTGGGAACGAATTAGTTCAAGAAATTCGTGATAGCCCACCAAGTTGAAGCCCAGTGGAGGCATGAAGGCCATCTACCAACATTTGATGAGTATTTGGAAAATGGAGCATATTCAAGTGCAGGCATTTTAGCTATGACTCAGATCTTGGTAGGAATGGAAGAAGCAGATGAAAGTGCATATGAATGGATAATAAACGATGATAACAAAATTTCAAAAGCTCTCCCAATATCTACCCGTCTCTATAATGACATTGTTACTAATGAGGTAAATCTACGGTTAAATTTGTATTTTCATCAACTGTTTGATTCAAAAGTACATATATTCTCATGTTCAAGGAGAGGATTCGAATTAAATAAAGCCTCTGAATTGACATATGGGAATCAAATTTTGAAGGGCGAGGAAAAGAGGGGATTTGCTTCTGGATCCGCCTGCTACATGAAGCAATACAATGTTTCAAGACAGGAAGCCATTAAAACTTTTCGAGAAAAACTTGTGGCTGCATGGAAAGACATCAACGAGGGTTGCCTGACAGCGCCTGTCCCGCAGCAAATTCGCAGGCGAGCACTTAACTTTGCACGCCTACTTGATTTAGCTTACAGGGATGATGATCCATACACAAAGCCAGAGTTATATTTCAAACATCTTATCACCAAAGTGCTCATTGATCCCATACCCCTTTAACAAGAACATGTTGGCTTTTCTTTTTTTCTTCTGATGCCAGAATTGCTATGCATATTATTTGGCATGTTAATTATTGTTTTTAAATACATTTGTAATAAAGAGAACAATGGAGTCCGTCACCCATTGATAACATCTCTCGATAGTTATTTTCAGGGGCCCTGTTTTAGTTGCACTTACAGCAAATTATAACTTTGCTTTTCTTTTCTTTTCTTTGTGTCTGTCTCCAACATGCTTTTCCTAGAAAATAAAAATTAAAATACCTATTTCTTTTCTATAATTAACAGGAAAAAAAATTAAAATCAAGCCTTGGATAAAAATTGAGTGAGGACATCTGCCAGTCTACGTTCAAATTCAATGGGAATATAATCGACATGCAGTTGTCTATTATGCATTTTCTCTTTATTCAATTTTAATATATCATTACATTTATTACAAATATATTGTCTGTACATATTTAGAGCCTATTTGGTGTGATTTTTTTTTTTACTGAAAAGCTATTATAAAATTTTTATAAAAAATAACAACTTTTGAAATTAAATTAAAAAAGTTTGATAAATTAAAATTATCATAAAAGATATTTAATGAATAATTTTCTATTAATCATGAATTTCTTTATTCACAATGAAAAAAAAGTTAACTTTATTTATTTATCTATTTAAAATAAAATTTTGAAAAGATAAAAAGTTGACATGTTAGGATGGAGAAAGGGGTATAGTTTTTGAAAAAATAATGTTATGATTATTTTTAATAGATAAGGATATTTTTAAAATAAATTTTTTTAAAAAAAAGCTATCATATTTTTAAAAAAAGAGAAAAAAAAACTCTCTTTAGAGCTATTCTTGAAACTTTTTTTTTTAGATTTTAGTTTTTAATACTTTTAAAAAGTGGATAAATTAAAAAAAGTCGGATCAAATAGACACTTAGTTAATTACTCTTGTATATATATTTATTTTCTTGTTAATATAAAACAAAATAATTTAACACGATTATATTTTCTTAACACTAATCAGTTCAAAATTTTTAAAGCATATAAATTAATAACACTTGTATATGACAAACAGAACCCATCGAATTCATTTAAAAATGATGAGCGAGTCATCAATTATATTAAACTAGCATTTAGAAAACAAATTAATATACAATTCTTTTAGGTTTTCGGATGAGTCATTAAGGTGGGGAGGATGATTCTATATTTTATTGGCTACGTTTCGTTGTCGTTAGTGTTTCACAATTCATCATTTGGTTCCATATTCAACAAAGCAGATGCAATATTCTATTGGGAAAGTAAGTTGGCTAAGAAAGAAGATTAATATTCTTTACTTATTAAATTATATCATATTTATATTTAACATTTTTCTTATGTTTGAAGTTTTAAAAATATATTAATATTATAAATTTTCATGTGCACATATTAAAATATATAAAAATAAAAATTTATTTTTTCTTTCCAGCATAAAAAATGTTGATAATTATTTTTTGGACGTAGGAGGATATTAATTTATATTAATCTTAAATTGTCTTTAGTACTTATTTTTCATTTTCAAGGCTTTTATTAAGGAAAAAAATACATATCAATAAAGAGTTGAGTAGCTCGTACTTTCAAGCCAAAAACATAGTTACTAAATAAAATAAAATCATTACTTATAAAGATAAAAATCATCTCATTTTTTATTTTTTATATTTATAAAACGCGCAATTGATTAATGATTGAAAAAAAAAATTATTAGAAAATGAATAGATTAATAAGGGGAGGCATTAATCATAGCAAACAAAGCTACTTTACCAAATTCAAGGCGCTATTCATTTAAAAAAAATATTGTTATTACATATAATATTAAAAAAATATTATTATTACATGTCATATTCAAAAACATTTTATTACACTTTAATGTCTAAACTGTTATTATTACTTACAAACTAAAACTTCAAATTCTCTTTATTTTTTTATTTTTTTGACAATTTGGTACCGATTAAAGTGTTTCTAACATGTTTTTATAAATCAAAACATAAATTTTCTTATTTAAAACGCTTATTTTGACTAAAAATCGAAAAAATTTTCATTGAAAACTTAAGTTTATAAATTTTAAAATTTTGAGTTTATTGGTGTCTAAATCTCAAATTGATCCAATTAAAAATTATTTTAAACATCTGTGATTATTTTTACTATTTAGTTTTATCCAAAATACCTAAAAATCAAATCCTTTAAAAAGCCATCCACTCAAGTACATCAAAACCATTGTTTAGTGTCGTGTGTTGGAAAGAGAAATTTAAAAGCGTAGGAGAGAGAAAATCAGGTGCATAGTAGATGAATGTCGAAGAGAGAAATCGATAAAATTAGAAAGGGTGAGATGTTGAAAGAAAAATCAAAAGCACAAATAGGAAGAAATTGTGATAAATAGTTTAATTTATTTGAAATAATTTCAAAGGTATTTTTGTCTTTAAATATGACTAAAAACAGTTAAATTTATTTTGATAGTTATTTTTAAATGCCTTTATCAAAAAAGATTATTCCTCACAATTTTCTCTATTTGAAAAAAAAAAACAGAATATTCATGTGGAGCCGTTTTAGCAATGACTAAGATCTTGATAGGAATAGAAGAAGCAGATAAAAGTGCATATGAATGGATGATAAACAATGATAAGAAAATTTCCAAAGCTCTCCAAATATCTGGCCGTCTCTATAATGACATTGTTACTAATGAGGTAATTACTCTATAATAAATTTGTGTTTTAATCAATTGTTTGATTACTTTAAAGCTTTAAATTTTACATGTGTGTATTTGATTCAAAAATTAAATGTATTATCATGTTCAAGCAGTGGGTTCGAATTTTCTTCCTTCTAAAAATATTTTTAAAATAAACTCATGAATTTTTGTAAACATAGTCATGTCTTTTTAATTGACGTATAGGAATCAAATTTTGAAGGACGAGGAATCGAGGGGATTTCTAGGAGCCCTTAACCTTTGTTTTAATTGCACCCGCAGAAAATTATAACTTTTGTGCTTTCCAGAGGAAATAAATTAAAATAAAAATACCCATTTCTTTTCTTGTTAAAAGTGACCGGGATCAATTGGGCTTGATTGATATTTTTAAACTTTTAATATCAATTTATTTAATAATTTTTTCTGAAATATTAAAATTTTTATAATTAAAAATAAATAATTAATTGCAAACTTATTTGCCAAACTTCTTAATGTTTTATTTTTTATGCACCAAGTTAGGCATTCAAAATCTCCATACTCTAACTTGATGGGGAGTATTAGAACAATATTTTCTCTTAATTAGATCTTAATAATCTTTACATTTATTGCAAGTACATTTTCTTTACATATGTAATCAATCTCTTGAATATGTATTTTACTTTCTAGTGAATACAAACCAGAATGATTTAATTCCAACTAATTGTAGTCATCTAAAAGATAATAAGCAATATCAGTTCATCAATTATATTAAACTAGCATCTAAAAACCAAACGAATATATGATTCTTTAAGTTTTCAGATGAGCCATTAATTAATTTATTAAAATTTCAATTATTGCTCTCTTTTCCTTCATATTCTTTCGACCTTATATTGAAATCTTTTCTTAATTTCCGTTGCATATTTTTTTGGGCTTTAAAGAAATTACAAGACCGAAACCTAAATGCTTATTAAAACGGGCCAATAAGCTTAGAAATGAATGAGGCCAGCCCAACCTATATTTGTCTGTACGGCTAATTCAAAGTCCAACTTCCCTTCTCTCTCCGTACTGTATCCAGACCCATCGTCCTTAGCCGACTTATCCTCCTCCTCTAAACCCATCATTGTCCTCTGTCTCTCGCTTCTTTTTCTTCTCTGATTCCGTCCAGCCTCGGATCAAAACGGAATATAGGCTCGTGACTCACGACACCCAGGTTAGAGTTACGCCTCTTCTCTCCTTTTCTTTTCTTTTCTTCTGTTCCTCTTATTATAACGTAACTAAATTGCATGTATGAACAATTGCTCTTTTTTTTTTTGTGGGTTTAGGCTAATATCTCGGGAGGCTTGATGAGGTAACTTAAGGGAAGGCAGTCAAAAACAAAAATGAAGTCGATTCAGGCTAATAACAGGGCCTTACCTATTAATTGTCCACATTTGTTAAAACCGCAACTCCAGCTGTCTTATCCGTATGTTGTATGTTTCAATGCTAAGCTTCCAGTTAGCAACTCCTTGAAACTAGTTGCAAGTGCATCCCCATGTCAACAACAATTTGCTCCTCTGTTAAAGCACAAGAGATATGTATCTTTGTCGAAATGCCGGCAAGGAACTCCCCTTTGCAGAATAGGAGGTGAAGATAAGTCGGCTGGTGACAATGAGGTGTGAAAGCTTTATCTTACCTTAGTGTTTTTTGGCATAAATGCTCAATATATGTTTAAATGGTGAAGGAAACAAAAATGCTGCTTGAAACATGTTTTATTATGTATATAAGCTCAAGTCATATGTTTGTGTTCTCTTTTTCCTTTTTGTGTGTATGTATTATATGTTGAGAATTCACTTGGTTCGAGTATTAAAATGCTTGAAGTCAGATTGAATTGCTACTTGAGTTCGACTTAAACTTGTTGATGATTACATTGAGTTTTGAGTTATTAACCAAGTCAAGCTCGAGTGGGTTTGGGTAGCTTGACTCGCTCAGTCTCCTAGGGTTATACCAAATAACCTTTGTACTGGCACCCTATACATCTAATATTATAAGTTCACTCTGCGTCTTTTAAAGTTGTAATTTTTCATTTCCAACAATGATGGAGAAATTGACATAGAGATCCCTTTTATGATCTGGCCAGAGAGCTAGACTGGCTCCACTGAAGGTTGAAATTCAAGTAGAAAATTGGATGGCTTTAACAGGGCTGTGGTAACATAAATAAGTCTTTGGTTTGGGTGGGTCCTGTCATGTTTTATTTGCTTAAGCAATTTTGCTTTGAATTTTCATCATATTCCACGGTTTTATTATTTTTTCACATTTTCTTTTAGATGGTCACAATAGAAAGGATTGATATCTTTGTATCTTGCATTTCTTTACTTATGTCATTCTATTTCCTCTTTTCATCTTTTGATAGAAAGAAATTATGTATTTTCTATCCCAGTACTATTGTTTTCTGAAACTGCCTTTTAGGATGGACTCTTAGTTTTCTCCCCTTTGGTTTTGTGATGTCTTCGCAAGTTCTTTTCTGCCAACTAGAAGAATGGAGTCTTTAATTTTATTACTTTTAACTGATGGAAATTTGATGGAGGCATGCAGTTCTAGAATCCTGTTCACAAGTGGACGAAATGATTGAGAGAACTAGATGGCTGCAATTTTTTGGCGTGTAAAATACAGTTTTAATACTTTAGTGTGGAACCTAATAATGTGATTGAATTTCTTTATCTGGTTATCAGGGTTCACCTTGGAAAGCTATTGAGAAAGCTATAGGGAACTTCAGGAAAGAACAGTCAGTTGAGGATGTATTACGGAAGCAGATTCAGAAACAAGAATACTATGATGAAGGCAGTGGCAAAAATCCACCACGTGGTGGAGGCGGCAATGGTGGTGGTGGGGATGGATCTGGAGGGTCTGAGGATGAGGGCCTCTCTGGGATCTTGGATGAGACCCTGCAAGTGATCTTAGCAACCATTGGCTTTATATTCCTGGTAAAAAGTGTTTCCTCTTTATTTTCTTTGACTCTCAGGACATAACCTCGCCTTTTCATTTTGCTGTGTTTGATTCTCAATTTTATGTTCCTGGTGAAACCTGATGAAAATAATGGCTTCAGTTACATCAATCGCATTTTTGATAGGAGGGCTGAGGGGCATTCCTGCTCTTTTCATCAGACCTCCCCACTACCCTTTCATACAGATACACACATTCACACATATGGTTTCAATGCATGGATTACAAGTTCTCAAATAATAGATTTATTACTTTGCAACTGTGCTAGATGTTAGGAAGATAACATAGTAAAATTTTCTTCTTTTTCTTTTTCTAAAACTGATGCTCTGAAGACTATATTTACTTTTTATTTACATAGCATAATATAATCTTTTTTTCAGAATGCGTAGCCAGGCTATAACTTTTCTGTGCTATAACAAATTCATTAATCCCCCCTTGTTTCAAGCTTTTACATGCAACTTTCATGTATTTACTCAAAAAAAATAAAAAAAGGCTTTTGTTATACTCTGGTCTGTTTGTCATGAGAATTCCTTTTTCTCCCATTCTTTAACTTTATGTGATATAATGGATATCATATATGTATTTATGCACGTGTCTGATTAGTGCAAGTGTTGTCTAGAAAATGGTGTTCAATCCTATGTATTTCTGAAATTTTTGGCTTGATGATACCTCCTACAGTATGTTTACATCATCACTGGTGAGGAGCTTGCTCGGCTAGTGAAGGACTACATTAAGTTTCTCTTTGGAGGAAATAAAAGTGTTCGTTTGAGGCGTGCCATGAACAAATGGGGAAAGTTCTTTGAGAAGCTGACTGAGAAGGAGGAGTATGATCGATATTGGTTGGAAAAGGCTATCATCACTACCCCGACATGGTATGACAGCCCCAGCAAGTACAGACAGGTCCTCGATTCTTATCTAGAATCAGATGATGACGATGATGATGATGATGAGTAATCCTAAGTCCTGATGTAATTATCTTTGTGATCCTGAAAGAGATTAGTGAGAATGTCACTCATGACTGTTTGGTGTTTCTGAAAATGTTAGTCATGAACGAAGATCAATTTTGATAATAAATTGTTGCATTGTGGAAAAACTTCATTGTGTATAGCAATTGAGCAGCAAGGGTAGCTGATGATTATGAGCAATGTTCAGTCATTGAATGGAGCTGTTATATCGGATATCACGCTTTTCAACAATATTTGGGTTACTATGAAAAAAGAAAGCCTGTGGGGATGACCCGGCCATAATATGCTAGGGCATTGTATTTCTAAGCAGCAGGTGAAAGCCTCACAAGTTATCTAGAACAGATGGAGCGTGAATGTGCTTAGGTGTTTCATTTGATGGTAAATGCGTATATCTCTTGTTTAAAGAGTTGGGTGTTTGATTTGATGGTAAATGTGTATTTTTTATCTATAAACGAGTTTGATTCCATCAAACATGGATCTTGGATGGTGGAGAAATTTCTAACTCAATCTGAGATTATTCAAAATACTAGCAATGATTGAATTGATCCATCCTCCTAATGGCTCTCTGCAAATGCAAGGACCAAAGACCATAATTGCAGGTCATTTATATAGAAGATAGGTAACATTCTTCCCATGCATCGGTTTCATGCACTTCTTTAATCATTTCATTACGATCGTCCACTTCATGTAAGTCTGACCGATCAACGATTCTGATGAGAAGGGATAAGAGATGAGGAGGACTCGAGTATCACCTCACCAATCACCAACCTGTGAGAATATAAACAGTACTCAAAGCCAAGACAAGACGTTGCCCATTGCGCATTCGTTGTAGTACATTGCACATCCCCGAAGCATAGGATTACTCTCTCTCAGGCAGCTTGTAATCTCGTGCACTCCCTCTTGATGAGACCACTTGGGAAATTCACCACTCTATAAGTGAACCGTCTGATGAAGCCATTAAAAAGAATCAGAGTCCCATGATTTGGTTCTGTGCCGACGTTTGAGCTGCTGTGCACTTTTGTTTCATCTTCCATTGTCTTCTCTCTTCCATTTTGAAAAAATACTGAGCCTTGCAAACAGAAATAGTTGAATCTTCCTTCCTTGAAGGTAAGGAATGTTATCATTGTTTCTTCTTTTATTTTTTTGATTCATACTTTGAATGCTATAATCGGCGTTTAACTGTTTCATTGATTCTTACATATCCTTTTTCCTTTTTTTTTTTGTCCTTTTTGTTTGGCTTCTTGTTCCTTAGTGAAGCTCTTTACTTTGAATAGCATTTGGGTTTTCTTTTCTTTTATTTTCTCTCTGTTTTCAACTAAAGTTAGTAAATTTCAACTGCAAGTTTTATTTTTTTATTTTTATAATAAAACACAGTGTATACACTACTTTTAAAGGACTTGCATGTTTGGTTTTAGTGATTGGTTGGTTTTTGCATGGTTAACTTGTTAATGCTCCTTTGTGTATATTAGCTGTATATCATTCATCCCACAAAGATTTTGGTCTTCTTTCTAACCTTTTTCTTTATTTTTTTTATTTTAATATGGAACTTTTTGTTGATGGAGACTGTTGATTCAGTTTGGAACTTTTATTTTATGTCTTTTAGAGCTAAAAGTTATATAAAATTTCATTATCAATGTGATCAAAAGGGTATGTGTGTGTGTGTGTATAGTGTGGCAGGGAATGCTTAAACTCGTTCAGTAGCTGTTTGTTCATATATTAGGTCCACTAAGCCATAAGCCTTTAAAGGCTTTTATGTTAGGGTGCAGTTTTTAAGTAGCCTACACCATGCTCTTTGCCCTTTTCCAAATGAATTACATTGAGACAAGTTATTAATTTCAGAATTATTGCATGTCCATGTTTACTTATTTGGTTACTGATAAGTTTGAGAAAATGAGGAGAGTGTCAACTAGACAGGATTTAGATAAGGGGAATTGTTTGTAGATTCTCTAGAATAGTGTTGTTTCTGGTTGCAATATATATTACTCATTTTAGATTACTGTTTAAACTTTAAACTGATTCTCACTCTTTTCCTTTTCCATATTCTGTTTGATATTTTTTAGAATAGTATGTGAATTTCTTGAATTTGTGCTTTAGGAAATGGTTAATTTAGGAGACCTGAACAATGACATTCCCTTTGATGTGCTGTCTCGGCTGCCAACAAAGTATATGCCGAAATTAAAGTGTGTTTCTAAAGGGTGGAACCGCCTTATATCTGACCCCACTTTCATGAAGGTTCAATCCCAAAAGAGAGAACAACTATCAGGCTTCTTCTTCCAACAGAAGTACCAATGGTGCTATGATGACATAACTACCATCAGCTACATTCCTGTTGAAAAGCAAGATGCTGAACTCCATAAGACAGTATTTAACTTCCTTCCTGAACATGTTGTGGTGCTGGCTTCATGCAACGGTCTGTTGTGCTGCCGCAGCTGCTTCCCCTTTCATGACTCTTGCCTATACATCTGCAACCCCTTGAGCAATGAATGGTTAAGGCTAAAATGGGATGAACCTAACAAAGAAAACAGCTTTGCTTTGGCATTTGACCCATGTCAAGATCCTATAGCCACACCAACCAATTTCAAATTGATCAGAGTGAAGCAATTTGAAACTGACAAAGAGGCCTTATGCTTTTCATTTGAAATATACTCTTCGGATAAAGGGGCCTGGAGGAAATCAGAGGAAATCTGCAAGTGCAATAACAATCTGTACAAGAACAGAGGCATTTTTACGGAAGGGGTTTTGCACTGGTTGACTGATGGTGACGAAGTGCTGACCTTCAATGTGGAGAATGAACTATCATGGTTGGTATCTGTTCCAATTCCAGCTAATGAGTTCAGAAGCATCCCAGAATCATGTATTGGCGATTCTGATGGCCGGCTGCATTACATCCTGGTCTCTGAATATGGATTGCAAGTGTGGTTTCTTGAAGATTACTTTGAATCCAGGTGGTCCCTGAAGCTTTGCAAAACTCTGGAGGAAATGGAAGAAGAACATTCACAGTTCCTTTATAATTTGCGTGAGAGAGTAACACAACGGTTGGCAGTTGACATGGAACCATGGATTGATCCCTTGGCATTCAAAGATGGGTATTTATTAATGAGGGTTTCTCGAAAGATCTTGCTATATAATATTGAGACAAACAAGCTGAAGCAAGTATGTTATCTTTCCAAGTTGGGTACCAGTTCCATTTGTTGCACAGTGCTTCCCTATACCTTAAGTTTGTCTCCCTTAAATCAGGCTTAAGAGACCCTTTTTCTTTGTCCTCGTTTATCTTCTGTTGGTTAGGTGGTTGTTTATACATGGATCTTCTGATCAGATTCCTACCCCACAACAATGGTACCAATTTATGAGAAGTAAATGAGTTCTGGATATATGCTAGATTCTCCAGCTTTTATTTGCTAGTGCGGTCCTTGAAATATATCTCAATTTAGATATCAGTTGAACATTTTCCTGCCAAGTCATTATGATTCTTCAGCGTACTAATCAGCTTTAACCAATTAAAGATTCAAGTGATTCTCCATCTTTCCCAACCCCCAAAATTCCATCCTTTCATAAGCACATTGAACCTATTCACCAAGTACCTAATTAAAAACTAAATGCAATTTGACAAGCTAATGTATCCATGCCTGCCATTGTACTGATACAAAATAATAAGATCTAAAATAGAAACCAATAATAATAATAATAATAAGTAAGATGGAAAGGAAAGTGATAGAAAGTGTAAGAAAATATCAACTTTTGTGTTGATAACTTTTACATCTTTACATATTTAAATCATGCAACGAGAAAAGGTTATTCTTTACATATATATATTAGATTGGTAATAATGATATCAACATTGGGCCAACTAAATTTTATAGCAAGTTCATAATTACAACTTAAAACTAATGGTAGCAAACAAATGTTTCGCCTAGCTTTAGCTTTCCAAGCCCCCAGGCCGCTATTCTGTTTCACCATCGCAACTTTCCACGCCCATTTCTCAATCCTAGAAGAAAACCTTTGCTCCAAATTCTTAACTTCATGCACCCAAACCTCAAGCTTGCTTCATGGAAAAGCAATCCATGCAAAATTCATCAAAGGCTCGATCCCGCATTCTCTTTATCTCCAAAACCATATCCTCAACATGTACGTAAAGTGCGGAGACCTCATCAACGGCCACAAACTGTTCGATGAAATGCCTGAACGCAACGTGGTGTCATGGTCAGCCATGGTTTCCGGCTTTACCCAGCATAGGTTTTACAACGAAGCTCTCTCCTTGTTTGTTTACATGCTGAGGGATGGAACTTCAAGGCCTAACGAGTTCACTTTTGTTAGTGTTCTTCAAGCTTGTTCTTTGCATGAAAGTTTAGCTTTAGCTTACCAAGTTTACGCTGTCGTTTTACGCTTGGGGTTTGGGTCGAACGTGTTTTTAGTCAATGCTTTTCTGACAGCTTTGATGAGACATGGGGAAAAAGAGGAAGCTTTTGAGGTTTTCGAGAAGTGTTTGAATAAAGATATCGTGACTTGGAATGTTATGTTAAGTGGTTACTTGGAAAGTTCTTGTTTGGAATTGCCTAAGTTTTGGGTTCAAATGAACAATGAAGGAGTTAAACCTGATTGCTTTACTTTTGCAAGTGTTTTAACTGGCTTGGCTTCTCTTGGTGAATTAAACATGGGTTTACAAGCGCATGGTCAAATCGTTAAGTCTGGTCATGGTGGTGAAATTTGTGTTGGGAACTCTTTGGTTGATATGTATATAAAGAGTCAAAGACTTTTTGATGGATTGAAAGCTTT